CTAATGCCCCCATCCCTGGGGCGGGAGTGGCTGCGGGGGAGGCTGCCCACTGCCCAAGGCCTTGGCGAGGGTGGGGGGCAATGAGGGGGGCAGCCCCTGCAGCTAGACCCCCCCCTTACACCCTCCTGTGCTCTGGCCACCAGGACAGAGCCTGCCAAGCTCAACGCCTTCATCATGGACAAGTCCCTGCTGGAGTACGAGGTCTCCATCGACTCCGACTGCAAGCTCCTGACGGTGGGGAAGCCCTTTGCCATCGAAGGTGAGAGATTGGGGGGAGTCCGAGGGGGGCAACTGGGCTGCTGCATGTAGGTGCCCTTGCCTGGTGGGAAAGCCACGCCAGCCTGCACGTCTCTGCCCAGCAAAGCGGCCAGCGATGGCTGAGAACTGCTCAGCTCTTTGCTGGACCCAATGTCAGGGCACAGCTGGATTTTAACCTCAGCGGCAAAAGATATGCCGGTGCAGCCGTGCAGACTTTGGTCCCGGGTCTGCTTTGGAGCAGGGCACGGTCCGATGGGCACGGTCCCCTCCCTGCACTGCCAGGCCCCGCTGCCTGCAGCAGGAGCTCTCCTTCCGCCGTCCTTCCCCAGGCTCGGAGAGCGGCACGCTCCCCCCTCGCGCTCATCCTGGGCTAGCAGGGGGCCGAGAAGCCAGCGGAGCTGCGCTCGGGCTCGAGCCCTGCCTCCAGCCGCAGCTTCCTCCAGCCCCCCTCCAAAGCTGGCATCTTCTGCGCGTCCCTCCTCATTGCCTGGGCAGCGCAGGAGGAGAATTAAAATGAGGTCCCGCGCTCCCTCCTTCCCTTCCGAGCTGCAGCCCGAGCCTGTGGCCTGGCGCGGGGACCGCTGCTCGAGGTGGGTCTGAGCAGGGACGGGGCAGGGGCCTTGGTGCCCAGCATCCACCCGAGGCCTGCCGGCTCCCAGCTTCGCACGCGCCTGGCTGGACCACGTGCCCAGCGGCGAGGATGGTACCAGCCCCAGGCAATGGGGCTCCGGGCCAAACCCTCGGCTTCCCCAGGAGCTGGGCCCTTTCAAATGGGATGGGGGGATGCTTGGTCCCTGCCCCTGTGACTGTGACCCCTCTCCCCTGCCAGGCTACGGCATCGGGCTGCCCCAGAACTCGCCCCTGACCTCCAACATCTCCGAGTTCATCAGCCGCTACAAGTCAGCCGGCTTCATGGACCTGCTGCACGACAAGTGGTACAAGATGGTGCCCTGTGGCAAGCGCGTCTTCGCCGTCACCGAGGTAGGGGTGCGGGTGGTCCCGGGGGGCCGGGGTAGATCCTTGGGGGTGATGCTTACCTACCCCCTCGCCTCCCCACCACGACCCTGCTGTCCTGTCTCCTGCCCAGACCCTGCAGATGGGCATCTACCACTTCTCGGGGCTCTTCGTGCTGCTGTGCATCGGGCTCTGCGGGTCCCTGCTCACCTCCCTGGGCGAGCACATCTTCTACCGCCTCATCCTGCCCCGCATCAAGAGGAAGAAGAAGTTCAACTACTGGCTGCATACCAGCCAGGTGAGCGCGGCCGGCCCTGGCTTCCCCCTCCACATGCCCTGCTGCAGTGCCCATTGCTCCGCGGTACCCCTCCCACCTGCCCCTTGGGCATGGTCGTTGGCCAACCCAAGGTCTAAAGTTGGGGAAACCGTCTCTGGAGGACTCCTTTGCCCTCCCATCCCACCCCATGGGCTGTCTGGGCTGGGGTGGCTCCCCCCCGCAAACCCCCAAGGCACGAAAGTGCCCCAAAGCCCATCATGGCCCCCAGCCCTATGGCTCTTGCTTGTCCAATGACCGAGGTTTGGCTTCTCTCCCCGCTCGTGCGGCACAGAAAATCCACCGGGCGCTGAACATGGGCTTGGAGGAGCAGAAGAACCAAAAGCTGAGCCTGGAGAAGAGGTACTGGTCGCGGATGCAGCATGGCCGGCCCTGCCACAGCTTTGGGGCACTGCAGGGCAGCACAGGGGTGACTTCTGCCTTGCTCGCTGTACTGCGGGGCTGGCTCCTTCTAGTAGGAAACTAGCCTCAGGTTCCCTTGCTGCATTTTGAGATCGTCGCTCCTGGTCTTGGCAATAACCCATCACCGTCTTCCTTAAAACCGTCCTCCAGGGGCTGGAAGGCTGCCCGCAAGCCTGTAGCTAATGGCGTTGCTTTCTGAAAGGGAACCCAGAGTCTGGGCCCAGGGGACGAGGCAGCTTCCTTCTTGCAGGGCAGTGGTCCAGGGCACAGGACCCCCGACCTCTTTCCATCTTCCTCTGCAGCTGCAACATCCAGAAGAGCCAGGAGCCCCCGGCGTGCCCCCCCAGCCAGCCCAGCTGGAACAACCTCCGGAAGGCGGCGGGGAAGGAAGAGAAGCGGGTGCACTTCAACCTGGCGAAGGAGCCCGCGGAGGCAGAGCCGGGCCCGGGGCAGGAGGCGCCAGTGTGGCACTGCATGAATGGCCGGGCCCCACAGCAGGAGGCGGGGGACAAGGAGGCCGAGGCGGCCGAGCTCAGGGAGCTGGAGGAGAGGATCAAGGACATGAGGGACCAGCTGCGGGCGGCGCTGGTGAGGAAGAGCGAGCTGGTCGTGGCGCTGGGGCCTGCTCCGAGCCGCCACGCGCTGCCCATCAGGGCTATCACCAAGAAGAGCGCGGACAGGTAACGGTGCGGGCCCGCGGCGTCCTTGGCACCGGCTCCTGCTGGGCACAAGCAACCTTCCTGCCTACCTGAGCCTGGCCGGGAGGAGGCAGGTGGCGCAGACCCACCTGCAGCTTGCTCACTTGCCTTGCTTTACTCTTTGCAAAGCAGGTGGGACCCACATCCTGCCCCGCTGCGTTACGGGCAAGCAGCTGCTTCTGGCTGTTAAAACCCCCCTCGAGTAAGCGTGCAGAGCAAAGCAGACCTCCGTTCACAATGAGCCCCTTGTCCCATCCTGTTTTGGGGAGAGGTCCTGGGCCTTCTGCAAACGCATTCCTCCTCCCCTTCTTTCCCCCAAACGGGTACTTTGGACAGCAGCTGTCGACTTTCAATGAGGACCCATTTCCCCCAGGCCCAAACCACAGTTCTTCCCTTTTTAGGCCCTGTACGGAAAAGCATCAGAGAAACCAATAGGTCTCTTTCCTTCCAGCTCCAGCCCGGAAAGCAGGCAGCCTTGCCTTCAGGGCAACGTCCCTGTCCCCTCCCTGCAGCGGAGGCTCCCTGCACACAGCAACAAGCCACTGTGAGAGATGGGTCTTGCCTCCGTCCCTTCATTGCAGGCACCAGAAAAGCCCCTGCTCTGCCTCGATGGAGGGCTCAGGTAGGAACTAGCACTCGTCAGGCCATGCAAGTAATGGGGCAATCGGCTGCTAGCACTTAACAGTCGCTCGAGACTCTCAAAATTAGCAGATCAGGAGAAAGTGCAACTGAGGATGTACATACAAGCAGCCTCGAGCCAGGGGCTGAGTCTTCCAGATGGGTCCCGCTTTGCAGAAGTGGAGGGGCAGTACTGCCCCACTGGGTTGGAGCCTCAGCTCTGCCCTGGACAGGACCCCTCGTCCCTGCACCTCAGCTTCCCCCTCCGTGGCAGGGGGACAGACCCTTCCCCTACCTCGTGGGAGTGCTGCGAGACCCTCGTGCGCTAGGGATGCAGCAGTGGCTCACTTGGATAAAGGCGCTGCCAGCTAAACACGTTCAAACCCGCACTGGACCCAGGAGGTGATCGCCAACCGCACCCCAGCATGACTGATAGCAAGGCAACCAGGCCCAGCAGCACTGCTGCAGCTGTTAGATATAGTATTTATTATATATACAAACACCTTTTGTACATTAATTAAATAGAATGAACTCTACTCTTCATTAGCAAATGATTCGGTTCCTTTCCCCCCTCTCCCCAACGCATGCCCCCCGTGAAAAACCTTACAGCTCTTTCTGCTGCCTCGTGCCGACACTTCTGAAGCTCTTAGGCAGAGTTTAGCTGCCAACGAGCTGCATCAGCGGAGAGGGAAATGTGCAGGTCACTAATGCACCCTTCTCCCCACCTCCTTGGCACTGATGGACACCTAGACAGGCTTCCTGGGTGGGGAAATGCCAAGAAAACAGAGGTCTCTGGTTGAAATCCCTAGCAGCAGGCTAGGTTTCCTGCAGCCCCTGGTGCTATAGCCCACTTGTCTTGGTGCATAAGCATCAGGAGGCGAGAGGAGGTCTGCCCTCACCTGCACGAATGTGGCTGCGCTCCTGTGGACAAGGCTACAGCTACTGGGCATTCCCACAGCATCGTCCCCATGTCCAAGCTGCCTCTGCCCCTCCTAAGAGTGGGTCTAGAGCCCCACCATAGTCCTGCCCCTGGGGCCTTTCCATGCACCCTCTCTCCCTCTTGGTGCCTTGCTGGGGGAGATGTTCCTGTGAAGCAGAACCCACTTGATCACATGCGCGTGGCTCCAGTCAAGCCTCATGTACCATTGTCACCTCCTCCAACCCATCAGCCAGCCTTTGGGGCCACCTCTGCCCGCTCCTGTCCCAGCTCCTCACCACCAAGGCAGGACTGGGGGAGGTTTGCCTGAAATTTGTTCCAAGCTTTAGCGTCGTGGCTCTTCCCGCTCCCACTGACCCACGCAGAACAAGGGTTCTCGACCTGCAACGACTCCCTCCCTCCTGCCGGCCTTGCAGCAGGAGGGCTCCTAGGCTCAGGGAAGGGACCGATCTAAGGATGCGATGGTGTCCCGCTCACAGGACAAGGCACTGAAAAACAAGCGAAGCCACTGAAGCAGCAGCAGCTGAGTGTCAAGGGGCACTGGGCAGCAGGACTGCGGTGCGCCAGCTTGCTGGATGGCTGTCTTGTGCTCGTGAAGCTGCACACCGGTTTCTAGCTATCACCCGCCTGGCACTAGCTGCTCTGCATGTCGTTGAGGCTGGGTTCCTAGAGCCCTTGCTGTGAGTGGGTTTGGGCAGACTCTTCCAAACATGACCCCGGTCACGTGCATCTAATACGGGGAGGAAGCTCTAGCTGAAACACCACTCTCTTGCACTCAGAAAACCAGACAGTGCCAGGAAAGCAACCTCATTACTTGGTTTGTTGGGGTTTTTTTCTTTACCTCTGCTCTCACCCCTCCAAAAATAGGCCAGGCAACTGCAGAGGGAAGAGGCCACAAAATGATCCTCAGAGACAGATCAGGTTGAGCCCAGCTTCTCACTAGCGTAATTAAATCTGGTACAGGGGAAGGGAAAATCTTGCTGACGCGGTCCCCTCTGCCTTGAGTCGATCTCTAGAGGAAACCTTACCTGCAGCCTGTTGTCAGATGACCGTGGCTCAAATGAATGGGCAGCAGAACGAGCCCTTACAACTGCCACGGCTTTCTAAAAATAGGGGAAGATTCTGCCTTTGTGGCAGCCAACGTACACCACCGCTAAAGGTGTCAACCCCCGACGCACACCCTGTATCCGTGGGGCCATGTGACGAAGTCACCAAGGCCCTGCCAAACACTGCCAGAGTACAGATGTAGAAGTAGCATCCACCCAGCTTCTTAGAACCTCTTGCAACGGAAGGAAACTGCTCTCGGTTTCAGCAAGTGGCTTCAGAAGCCCACCGAGGTCTGATTTTCCACTCCTGCCAGTAAGCCTCCCCCAGCCTCTATGCCCATCTCAAAACGTGCTGTGTTTGATGCGACACCCGCTTGTTTTTGGTTGAAACCCAGAAAAAAAAAAAAAAAGTAATTCTATCACAAACTGGAGGACACTGGCAAAGGCAAACAGGGCCAGGGAGTACCACAGGGAGCCCTCCCTCCTGAGAGCTGCCCACCCTCCTGGGGTTCGAGCAGGGAGACCTGTAGTGTGACACCAGAGAGGCAAAATGACCAGTGCTGGAGCTCTGTTTGCCCCCAGTGCAAGAGAAGCGGGGCTTGCTCTGAAGAATGGCTTCTCTGGATGGATGGCTTCTCCCTTGCTGCAGGGGAGGCTGGAGAACAAAAGACCCCAGGCTTATCGGTCCCTTTTGCTCTCGCACATTTACTTTCTGGAGGGAAATTTCCTGCACCATTGCTCTGCCCCAGAGGCTGTGCTTCCACTGAGAGGAATTACGGGTTGGGATGGTGAGATGAGAAACAACAAAAGAAATCCCTTCCGGCCTGCCAGGAGTCCCTGAAGGAGAGGACTCAAGACAGGCTCCCACGGTCTGGGTCAGAGCAGGCTGTCCCACCTGCTGCTGCAGGGCAAGGGCTGGTCTCCCCAGGGTCCCCACTACTCGGATCCAAATGCTGGAGTGGTTTAGTACCTGGCACAGAGGCCCCCGATGTCTCTGCCCGGGTGCTGCTTGCAACGCAGTCCTTGCCACTCTGCTCTGCTTGGCTGAGACACCCCTCTGCAGCCTCAGTTTGCTCGGGGAGGGCAGGGCTGGGGACAGGGGCTCCATCCTCCTGCACTGGGGTAGGGGGAGCAGCGGCAAGAGGGGGAGCCGGTGCATCTTCTGCAGCAGCAGGCACGGCTGGCGCAGTCACTGGAGTCGAAGTGACTTCAATTGTGATGGAGCCACCAGCAGCCTCTGGACGGTCACTGCTGACTCGAATTCGGGCTAGCAAGCTCGAAGCAGCAGCGGCTGCATCCTGCGGGCTCCCATTGGCCATGGCTTCGTGCACCACGTTCGGCTCCAAGAGGCTCAGGTCGGACAGGAACGAGGCTTCCGTAATGATGGCAGCTGTCTCGGCTACCCAGTTCAGATTGCTCGCTATGGCAGAGGCGGTGGCGGCGGCGCCAGCCCCCGGGCCTTCACCGGGGGCCAGAGAGATGGGGCTGCCGCTTTCAGCAGAGGGACCGGTGGGCAGGTGGGGCTGCCTGGTGCCCACGTCGATGGGTGCAGCCGTGGTGTTGTTGTTGAGGTTGTCCTGCAGCGTGGTCTGGGTGCCCTGGCCCACCTGCTGGTTCTGCAGCAGCATCTCCTGGATGCGGATTTGCTGGAGGATCGCCGGCAGCTCGTAGTGGTGGAAGAAGTAGATCATGGAATGCTGGGGACCCAGAGGGAAAGACGTTACCAACCCCCAAGAGGAACCACAGAGACAGCAGCAACACAAGCTTCCCCCACCGTGACCCACAGGTCTCACTGGGGTAGGCGTGGGGGGATGGATGCACCTGCATTTGCCTCTCCCATCCCTGACCTCCACATCATATCTTCCTCCCCAGGATGTTACCGAAGAAGATGGTTTAGGTTCTGCTTACAGACCAGGGGTGGATCAGAGGGGGATGGTGTGCACTGGTGCAATTGCACCCACTTTCACTCCTGCTCCACCCAAAGTTTAAAATCAATGACCTAGCAGTGGCAGCAGTATCTCTGTTCAGGCAGCAGTGAGAGCATCGATTGAATTCATGGCTCATTAAAATCTACCCGATTTCTTTGCTCCAGGTGTTCACGACCCTCTCCTTTTTCACCGTCTTGCTGTTCCACCAACCAAGCTAGCCTTTCTTCTGCAATTCTGCTAACTGCTTCTGGTAATGTAGCTCCTGTCACAGCCATGCACACTGTTTTTAACTCATTCCAATAACATATATTTGTTTTTGCTTCCGTCAAACTAAATAATACAGCCCTGGGCCCCTAACATGAGTAAAGCTTCCAGTTTCTTTTTACTTGAAGAAAATGTGCGCTGTGTTATATGGGATGATGTGCCTCACCACGTACAACCCCCTTTTCAAAATCCTAGATCCGCCCACGGGATCTTCTGTGAGCCCTACCTCTCACTCCCTCCTCTTCTGCCACTTGGCAGCTGTCAAAGCAGGTTTTATATCAAGACTAAGTCACAGCTGGATGGAAATCAGTGACCTGGAAATCGCACTGCATCTCGGTGGGTTTGAGAATGTTGCCTACCCTTTACCTCCCCTGCTCAGGGGAACATGTGCAGCAGTTGTTTAAACAAAGGTTTTGTTCAAACTGGGTCGTGTCAGTTTAGAAAGCCTAACTTGTGATCAACAGCCACTTACAAGCAGTTCATTTTATCTATGTACATCCACCCATACTGCATGAGCCAAGTGACCAGCTGCTGACTAGATGGTTTAAGTGCCAACCAGCCCCTCTCAGACATATGACATGACTAGAGGTGGAATTAGCCGTAAACCATCGAACACGCTCTCATGATCAGCAGAGCAAGGCTGCTGCTTACCTGGATGAAAAGCCAAGAGGTGACCAGAGCCAGGCTGCTGTACTGTCCGTTGAAGCGGTAGTGGTAGGCATAGAAGGCAAAATGGTACAAGTAGAAGAACCTGGGAAGACAGGAGACAGTGAGGACGAGGGGGCTCCAACAAGAGATCCCACATGTGTCTCCACTCTGGGGAGGGGTATTGCCTAGGGAACAAGTGTGACACCTCCTTTAAAAGAGCAGCCAGACTCTCCCAGTCTGAACTGGTGCTCAGTGCAAACAGAACAGGTGAGGACTGGGCAAGCAGTTGAAGGATGCGGTTTTTGCAGCAGATTTTCTACGAGTTACAAAAGAGCAATAGGGGAAAGCAACTGGGTTATAGACCAGCGCTTGACTGAGGATCCTAACAATGTCCCCCTACTACAGAACAGAGCAGCATGTTGCACCAGTACAATGTGCACAGCAAGGCGATGGCAACAGGCATGTTACGAGGGGGAGAATGAGTGAGTATCTCTTACCTAAGCCAGTGCCTCTTGCTAGTGTTAGTGTGGCAACAGATGGCGTCGTACTGATCAGCCAGCCACACAATGAGGATGATGTAGAATGCAGTGGTGGTGTCGTTGAAGAACTCCGACATGATGGCCTCCATGCCTGCGGGAGGCAAAGAACCCCACCATCAGCAAGCAGACACAGAATAATCCCTGCTGGCCTTTCTCCAGCATTAAGGGGGTACCTGGAGCAGACTACCTAACAACAGGGGCTGGGCTGGGGCTATGCTTGCTAGATGGGAAAGCCAAGGCCCCAGGGCACAGCTGTCCAGGCCTGACTGCTGAGCACACACTTTCCTTAGAGCGGAGGATTTGCTGGCTTTGAGCATGGCACAGGATATTAAAAACAGTTTTGCAGGTTCAGGACAAAGCTCAGAGAAGTGAGATATTGAAGTGGATTGGATCTGTCTGTACTGCATACCGACTCTAAGACAGCCCCATCCCCAGTGTGCACAGCTCAGGCAGTGCATGTTAATCTTGACCTCCAAACCCCCTTGCTAGAGCAATCTTAACTGAGGGAGGATGTGTTACTGGCAGACAAGACCAAACCACACAGGTATAGTTTTGTAGGGGGGAGCAGTTACCACGTTCCACCGACTCTACACGCTGTAGTGAGTGGACAGAACATCACCCCACAGCAAACAAGCTAAGACAGTATACTGCAAGTCCGATTAACACTTAAGGGTACTTTTCAGACCTACTGGAGGTTCCCTTTTAATAACAAGGAATAAAGCCTGGTTCTTACCTACTAGAGCCAAAATGACAGTGAGTAAGGGAGCAGCGGGGAATGCAATGGTCATGTTCATTTCCAGCATCTGCAACAGGTCCACTGCAGGAAGAAAGGCAAACATGATACCAGGAGACTGAGGGGCCCTCCGTCTCCCCCAGCATCTTGGAGCATAGCAGTAACATGCCATAATCTCTGCTGTCTTTAGTCCAGCACCCCAGATTTCCCACAGAGGGGCTGGGCAGGTCCCACGAGGGAGGATTACAGTATTTTTCCAGTGGAGCTGTATGCAGAAATTCATGCGAGGGATGATACAGGCACAAGGTACTTCCAGCTCGCAGTTTACAGTGCACTATGGCCAAACTGGAGCAGGCAACAGGTCTAGCAAGCCCTGCCCTGATCCTGGCCAATACTCATTGCTTCACAGGACATGAGATTCCCTCATAAAGCACCAGGGAGCAGTGCTGAGCACATGGGAGCTCTGTATTTGATGCATTCAGCTTGTGAATACCAACCCCAGAGTCAGAAACAAGAGGGGAATGGTGACTGGCTCTAGTCCAGTCCATTATTCAGACATTAAGAGTCAGAACAGGGCGCTTGAAGACAGCCTATCCGTCAGAAGATTTAGGGCCAAGCTCTTGCGTGTAAATGGAAAGAACGCTAGAAATCAATGGCCCTGTGTTTATATCAAGCCTGATCCTGGCCCTGGTTAAGAAGCATCTCACTCCAGATGGTAATTTTGCCAGGCCATGCCATGCATTTTCTCAGCTCTGGAGAGCAGATTCCCTTCTCCTGTCTGCCATCTCAAGTAGCATCACTCCAGTAAAGACATCAAGGTATTCTCTTGCTCTTCAAAAGCACTGGACTTTCTCCGAGGCCCAAAACCCATCATGGAAACAGAGATATGGAAACACTTACCAATGAAGACAAAGATCTGATGGTGAGAGTAGCGCAACAGCATGGAGACGGACAGAGTCTGAAACAACAGGACAGAAGTAAGCGTTAGTCCTAGATTGTTCCAAGATGCTTGGCCTTCCCAGAGTTGTGACAGGGCAAAGAGTTAATGAGGATGGACTTTCCTAGCTTAAAATGGCCTCATGATGTTTTGGCATAAGCTGTGCAGGAGATGACTAGACAATTATAACAGGCCTTAAAACACACTCATCTGTTAAGAAGAATGCATGTGTATTGTGTGTGTGCAGGTCTCAGCACAACATTTACTGTACGCTTGGCTCTTTTTTCTCTGTTTCAGCCTCCTTTGTACACTGGTTTTACCTTGACAAATTCTTGCATTTGCAAAAAAGATTCCAAGTGCAGTCATGTCTTCAGTTAGTTGGGCTTTAAAACCAGCTGCGGCATCTTGTGCTCTCACACGTTTAGGAGGCATACTACAGTCCAGCACGTTTCAGCCCTTACATCAGTGCTGAGAAGTCTCAGCCCAGATACTGAGGCAATGCTTATATTTCTCCCTACTTACGAAAATGACCATGATGACGAAGGCTGCCAGGTACGATGTCCTGGCCATCCACATGCTGACAAAGCGGTAATGCTCCCCAGACACCACATTGCGAAGGAAACCTGAAAGGATGTGGAAGTCAGTGTGATGAACAGTACAGGATCAGCTGAGCTGCTAAGGCCCAAGGAGGACTCAAAGAAAGAAACCACAATGCCTGCTCCCTGCCACTGCTTTCACTCCATGCAGGACAATAAAGCATTAGGAAATAGATGTGTGGTTGTCCTCTCTGCCTTCCCCTTGTTTCTTTTTACCTACCTCATGCTAGTGCACCCAGGGGCAGAGGAGCTGTTCCAGTAAACAGCCAGAGAATGCCAACCATGCCCCCACAGAAAAAGCAGTTCTCCCTTGAACGGGTACAAACAATCGAGTCCCCAATGCTTTTACCTTTATTCTCTTCGTTTTCAGCCAACGCTTTCACACTGGACATCAGAATGTCGTCATAGCCCAGGAACTCATCCAGCAACAGGCGACTGAATCTGTCTCCGAAGCACTGGTCCCTGGTGGGATCTGGACAGAAGACAAAGAACATTTGTTCTGTTCAGAGGTCAAAGCACCGAGTGGGAAATGCCAGCTTTCATTCCTGGGTGATTTAAAAGGTTTGCTAGTGCAGCTATGTGGTCAAGTCCCTTGTGGAGATGCAGCTCACACCAGTTTCTCAAGCAAAATGAGTGGTACCAGCAAAAGGATCTTTTCGGCAGATTACCTACATCTGCTGGGGTGTGGGGAGATGGGAAGGGGACAGAGCGACAATCCTCTCAAGTGACAGTTATATGGGCAAGACTTCAGCATAAATCAGGCTTCAACTTTTACACTGAAGCCTGTCAGATGCTCCAGGCTGCAATATAGACAAAGAATTCTATTCTCAAGCTTAGTCTCTGCCTCCTTCAGCCAAGAGAAAGATGGATTTGCTCTTATTAAGCCTGGGACAGGTCTGGCCATGTGGCGGGGACAGTACTGAGGAAACAACAGCTCGGGGAGAGGGGAATAGGTGATTTGAGCAGCTCTTCGATGAGGCAGAAGAAATACGAAATTGGATGCCTATCCTATTAGCAGCAATGAGATTCAGAATTAATGCAGCCAGGCCTTACACTATGAATGACAGCAACTATCCCTTTGCGCCCCTTTGTTCTTCCAAGCACTATTAAAAGTTTCACAATTCCACCGCACAAGCAGCTACGGTGATGAGATCGACACAAATGACAGGACATCGCTGCATAAAAATGCAAAGAAACTGGATAAACATATGGAATCAGGTTACCAGGCACCCAGATTCCAGCTATATGAAAAAGCACGATACAAATACAGGCTATATTTTGTAAGCAGCCAGAACGCTTAGGTAGGAATCTGAGCTGAACGTGAAGGTCGAGAAGAAAAAAAACAACAACCCCCAGCTTTTAATACAGAAGCCATGTATAAACCACCCAGTGGTCACTTAAAATTGTACAGCAGAACCATTCTACTGCTTTCATGACGTGTTTCTGATAAGGCTAGTTTCATTACTGTTCATCACCTGGCATCTGATTAGTTATGATTTCTGGCACAATGTTTCTTATGTGGGAACTTTTTACTTGACAGCAAGGCAGCAGAAGAGAATGAGGCCACAAGAGAGAAAAAAAAAAAAAAAAGCCTGCTACTAAGTGGCGTGCAAAACTGCTCAGAGACGAATACTGATACCGAGCAAACGTGCTCAGCATGGTCTCCAACACGGGTGTAACCACTCTCAGCAAGGGGCACTGCAGCTGTGATGGTGCAGATGTATACTGTATCATATGCGTCTCAGGGCTGCAAGCCATTTTGGCCCCAGTCTCTGAAATTCAGAGTAAAACAGGTAAACCTGAAGAAGAGATGTTCAGATTGAGTTAGCACTTGATACCTTGAGATTTTCTTCCTGTAAAGGGAGGAGGGGGGAAAACTATGCTGGGAAATAACATTAGGACTGCTTAGCCTCACACTGATGCACTGCCCCAGCATCCCACTGGACAGGCACTTCTTCTAGAGACTGTTTTCTACTCTGGAGGAGTGCACCTTCCATCAATGTAACGTCTTTCTGCAATCACCCAGGAGCCTCCTGTACTTACCTAGCGTCACCACCATGACCGGGATGCTCAGGCGCTGACGGGTGCTCTGAGACAGGCGTAAGAACCCGTACTCCAAAGAATACTCCACAATGTACTCTTCTTGTGGCCACACTGCAAGAGAGGATGCAAAACTCAGCACCAGGGCTTGGCAACTATTACCACAAAAACCCACAATATGCCCCAGCCCCCCTGTACAAAGTCCCCCCTTTGCCACCCTCACCAAAAATACAGACCCCGCCCCAACCTGCTTTTTATCAACGTAAAGCTTTGGCTGTTCTTGTTTTCCTAAATATTTCTCTAACCACAACGATGCAAACTCTTTACTACCTTTCCCAGCACCGGTCAGTGCTACAGTTTGTGTCAGTCACAGGTTTTGGGGAAATCCACTTGCCTGCTTCAGAATGGTACAACAGTCACAGACCTGCACACCTGCTTTGAATCGAAGGCGTTGAAAGATGCCGTATTTACAGTCCTGGTACCTACAGTCCTTCCTACAAGGCCTGACATTTTCTAAGATGCCTAAGGGAGGTGTGTACCTAATTTCCATAGGCTCCCCACTGAAGATCCCAGCCAAGACAGCCGTAACAGAGGCCAGAGTGGTACCCCCAACATGATCGGACCAGTCTGCCTCATCTCTATGCTGGAGGGGGTAATGTCAGGTTTACTGGTATCTCTGCACAAAGATCCCCCCAGCTGGGTGGATATGCTGCCTATGAACCCACCAGCTGCCCACTCACTCGCTTCATCTGGCAACAAAGCAACCTGCAGCGGATAAAAGTATGGAGCTGTTCTCACCTGACAAGAAGCTAACCGCAACATTTAAATAATGGCTCCGAGATGCTATTATGACCCTCATAGGAAAGCATTGCTCCTGGTCTCTCTCTTTCCCCCACTGCAACTGCTGGATGTGGGGTAAGTGCACGAAGACTGGATCAGTGCTGAACCACACACTGTCCTTTGTTTGGTTTCCATCAGCAAGGAATCTGTCTGCGGCTCTTTAGAGCTGACCAGGATGCATAACTCAAGGTCCATTACTCACTCTGCCACCTTCACTTCACCTCCATGCCTCAACTGAAAACTGGGAGTAACTAACCCTGGGTCTCAGGAGGGCTGCAAGGTTGAATCCATTCCTCTTTCCAAAGAGCCTTAAAAACCGTGAAGGAAGAAGCAACAGAAGGTCAAAATCTATAAGCCTACAGAGACATCAGCTTCAGAAGCAGCCAGCTTACGGCTTCAGCCAGAAAGCAAGGAACAGAAACTCAGCCCCCTCCAAGACCCCGTTTCCATTCAAATTCTCTAGTAATAAGAAGTGACAGATCAGCATTAGCCATTTAAAAGACCATTGGCACCTGCAGGAAAAGCTCCAAAGAGATTCTATTTAGAAGTGAGGCTGCTTACGGGACTGCCTGGAGCAGATTAGACAGCGAGGTTTTTAAAAGACTGAATGGTGAGAGCTTAAAAGGTTTCCTATCAGGAGCACAGCTGGACCCAGGGGATGCCTGGGCCGGGGAAGAGCACCGATTGCTGGTACAGGACAATCGGTGTCTATTCTGACAAGCTGGGCCATTTACAATGGCAGGGATTTGCTACGCTTTACACACTGGCTCTGGAAAGTTTTCTTGCTCTCCTGGCCCTGTGCCCACGGGGCTGGAAGCTGCTCAGTCGCTGAGCCGCTCACTGCTCAGTCCTCAAGTGACCTCTTGCTGCAGCCCCTCTTCAGCCGTTCAAGTTTTCCTGGCAGACCACCCTGAGCCCATGACGACAAGGTCCTTAATGAGACTTCACAGAAGAGCAACGAGGACTTTGGTCCCTCCAAGCACTGCCCAAGTGAAAGGTTTTTGTTCTGTATGCCTTTTATTTAAAAAACTAATTTTCCCCCCTTGTTACAACAGCAACAAGTTTCTTGCCTCTTCATATGGTCTTTGGCTACAATTAAGTACTGTATCACCACAAAAAGAACTTTCCTGGTAAAACCAGCTTAAAATCAATGAATGCAAGGAAATGCGTAGCTCTGCAATGGTCTGAAGCAGCACAGCAGCAAGGGCCTTCCTGGAGAGGAAAGGAAGCGATGTTGGTTGGCTTTAAGTCACATTAAACTGTGCATTTCACACAAGTGCCGAACTCTGAAGACGTGCTTCCATGCGGCGGGGAACAGGTGAGCCTCTCATTGCGATACGCATCACATTCAAACGGTTCCTCTTGCCCATTTGGTCCTTGATGTCTCTGCAGACAGTGCAGTGGGGAATCTGTTTCAGGGTCTGATGCTTCAAAGCCCTGAACACGTACAAAGGATCCTGCTCAGACATCCCCGTGTGCTTGTACGTACTGCAAGGCAACTGTGGAGGAAACTGCATGTCTTAGGAACGCTGTCAAAGTATCCTTTTGCCTCCGACTGCAGCAGGCTTCCCACACGGGAGGAGCAACTCTTCTCTCAGACTGACAGGTATACACAGAGCTTTTCCCAGGGCAGAATTTAGCACATCAGAAGGCATCGACCCATGCAAACTACATCTGACTCCACAGTTTATGCTAATGCGGTGTTTTAAGTTCAAACACTGCATTAACCTCATTATAAATGTATATTTTGGAGCCCCCAAAAAGCTTAAATACTTGGTTCAAAGCTGCCTTCTTCAAAGTCAATTTTTCAGCTTTGAAGCTTCCCCAGGTCTCATTGCTTCAGTCAGGCCTGCTGGTTTTCGCCACAATCAGCTCACATCTCTGGAGTCAGGAGTTCTCGGGAGACAGGAGCTGCTGCTTCCACATGTGCCAAAGCCAAAGGCTAGAGCAATTAGGGCATTTAAAAAAAAGCTTTGACATCACTGCTCTGCCTGCCTCAAGTGTTGGGTTGTTTTTTTTTAAATGAAGGTTTGAAGTCGACACCGTCTGCTGCGATGGCCCCAAGACAAGAAAAATCCCCTGCTAAGTAGTAGCCAATCAATTTAATTTGAGATCTTTCAAACTGTCACACCGTTTCTTCCCAGAGGGTACACGAAAAAAAAAAAGAGAAAGAGTTATGCTTCCCACAACGAAAATATTTTAAAATGACACAAGCCATAAATCACGTATAAGAAATGCAGCTTTCTTATAAGCGACGCATGAATAAAAGACGTTTCAATAGAAAATGTACAGCTCCCTCTCTCTGTTGTACCAGGTAAGAAAAGCAGACCGGCCAGAGTTTTCACATTCGTTCCCATTCACTAGCACAACCGCTTTCAGTTCATAAAGGCAGACAGAGCACTTCAATCCCAACCCAAGAGTTGCTTGACCCTGAACGCATTTTTAAAATGCATTATATCCAAAGACCAAATGTGCAGTCTTAGCTGTGGCCCTCCATCAAAGAAGGTAGGCAGGCAAGGAAGACTGGTTCTAGCTACATCCCTACAAACCTGCTTGAAATGATGCACTTTATTATTACATTGCAAAGAGAAGAATAGAACAACCCACTAAATGCTCTCCCCCCGCAGCCCCGTCTCGCTGGATCATTTCCACTTATGACTCAGCAAGACGCATTCGATGTACAAAAGATCTTTCAAAGGACTTCTCTGCAGTCCTTTCTAACAGCGCCACAACATGTTTACATGTATTCCAGAGTTTCAAGTAAGGTCATGATCCCAATCACCGATGAAGCAGTTCATTAGTTTGCCATTTGTCTGGGACTAATTAGTCCTGAATTCACAAAAAACACTACAAGACCAGGGGAACAACAACCATTTTGATGTTAGAGCTCACCCTACAGGTAGAAATAACCTTTTATACTGCTGGATGGAAAAAAATTCCAGTTCTCTAACAGGTGTCAGGTATTCAGGTTGTAGCCATATCGGTCTAGTGGCAAAAGCAATCGGGACTGGTGGTAGAGGTGATATCTTGTATTAGATCAACTAGATTTTTGCAAAAAAAAAAAGTCTTTCATTGCAAGCTTTCGGGCACAAACACCCTTCATGAGGCAATGAACGGTGTTTGTGCCCAAAAGCTTGCAATGAAAGAATTTTTTTTTTTGCAAAAATCTAGTTGGTTTAATAAAAGATATCACCTCTACCACCAGTCCTGAGTTCTCTAACAACACACTTGCTTTGGCTAAAAAGTGAAAACTTATAATAAAAACTACAGGACAATTCGTATGCTCCTGTTTCAACCTGCGGGTGATATTAAACCTTGAAATCCAACACAGCAGACACCACTGTTATGCTCTCTGCAAGCCCAGGTCTCAATGTAAGAGACAAGAAACCATTATTCTTTTCCTTGAGGTCTGTTAAATATTAGCATCTCAAATCAGGTTGTACATCTTGCGTAATATCAGTGTCTCCAGTCCATCAAGGATACAGCACTACAGATATCTGCAGGACCAATCTGTTATTTTAAGAGCTGCTTCTGGATGAGGGGTCAGAAAATCCCTGCAAATGCCATTGAGAATATCGGAGTCACTGGACTTTCTAGCAGCTCTTCTAGAGAAGAATCAAACACGGGGCCATGCAGCTTGTGGAAAAGGAATCACTGATTCACCTCAAGTTGCAGCAAGGGAAGTTTAGGTTGGATATTAGGAAAAACTCTCACTTGGAGGGTGGTGAAGCACTGGGATGGGTTACCTAGAGGAGGCAGAATCTCCATCCTTAATGGTTTTTAAGGCCTGGCTGGGATGATCTAGTCAGGGCTGGTCCAGCATGGAGCAGGAGGTTGGACTAGTTGTGACCTCCTGAAGTCCCTTCCCATCTTCATTTTCTATTTCTACCCCAGCTGCTGGCAGAGACAGGATAACCAAATGGCCTGTTAAGCCATTAAGTTTTATCAGTGATGCCTGCCACAGTTTGCATATCAGAATTGAGACCTGTTCATTACCGTAACAATAGACATAAGTAGAGGCCCCCTGCATGGCTTCCCTTTGCCAGCCCCTTCCCCCCGTCCCTCCAGCAAAGAGAAAGTTCTGCAGGTCCCAAAGTAAAGTAAGTGCTTGAAATCCCATTTGAAAGCCAAAGGAACACCTGGAAAATGAGTCAAGAGGCTATGCAAAGAGCTGGAGCAGGCGAGGGGTAGGTAGGAGAGGTAGAGGTAGACAGAGGAGGCACAGGCACCAGGCAAGGAGGGAGCGTGGAGAACGGCAGAAGTGGTCTTTACCTGCTCTCGCTAGCATCTCAAACTCGGACACGGTCTCACTCAGCGGCTGCATACCTTTAGTGGGCGCCTCGCTAAAGGAGAACTCCTGGCTTTCGTTGTGGGACGCCTGGGTCAGCGCCTCAGTGCTGCTCACCCGTGATGGCTTGAGGAACACCTTGGGCTCGATGTCCAGCTCAAACTGTTGAAAGAGCAATAGAATGAAACCAACCACAATCTGGTTTCTGAGCGGTTAATGAACCCGAGACACGAGAAGCGCTGAGGAAGGACAGACAAAAACCTACAAACATTCTATTCATGTCGTTAATCCAAGGGGGCTTTGAATTGCAAAGAAGCAGCTGGAGAGAGATTTGCCCTGTTTGGAACTGGCTGAAGGTTTCTAGAGGGACTCAGCCAGCCAAGTGTGTTCAGGGTAATTACCCTCTGAAGACTGATGGCGTCCCAGTGGACTGCAAGGACAGAAAAAGCTGCATTATGTTAACAACCTGCTGGATCACAGAGAAACAAACAGACAAGAGGTTGGTACAGCAGCACAAATTGCCAGAAAGATGTTCACTAATTCTTTAGTCTCCTCAGAACCGGATGCCTCCCCTTCCAAATGTGCCTCTGCCTGAGGTTCAGGATGGCAAGATTCAGGCCCCAGCTAACAATGGCTTTTCTATGCCTGAAAAGGGCCCTGCTTCCTGGCTGGATGTGCTGTAGCCCCACAAGGCTTCCCTGTCTCGAGGAAGCTGGTGTGTTGATCCAGCAGGCAGGGAGAGCAAAGCCATGCTCTCAACAATGGCACAGTTCCAGTTCTCTGAACAGCAAAATGTGCTCACAACCCTCTCCCCTATTCTTAGATATTTTGGACCTGCCTGTGCCCTTCTCCTAGCTCCTTCACAGCATTGCTAGACCAAGGCTGTTGCTCATTTGGTTTCTACTCCCAGCAGGTGTCTTCCGCTCCAACTTCTACGTGCCAGGAGCACAGAGCCCCCTCCATGACCCCCCAGCATCTCATCTGCTCCCCTATCTGAAAGGCAGAAACCCTTGTATGCAACAGCATGTAAGACATGAAGAGGGAACAGCTGTGTGACTGGCAGCAACACTTGAGGGCCCAAAGCTCTCTTGCAGGACCAAACACATTTTTACCTTGGAAAAGGAACACAATTTGTGGCCTCCAACAGTGAGATTTGGGGGGGATATATTAACATAAATGCTCTCCCCCGTTAGGCCTCACACAGCTAACCTCAAGGGCACTGCGTCACCTGGATTTACAGGGAAGGGATAGAAGAAATACCCCGGCATAGTGGTTTAATTTTTTAAAGCTCTCTAAAGCCCTTATAATAGTTGTTCTGTAGGACATAGGGGAACGCGTGATGGCCTGCCACAAAGGTTCGACCAGCTTGGGCTTGGAATGATCACGTTACTCGCACATGCAGACACACTAGCTTGGTGCCAATGATGTCCTCAAGGACCGCACGGATGGCAAACAGGAGCGCACATCACTCCGAGGGGAAGCGCATGCAAAGGGCACTGCTAGGATGCAAGAAGAAAACATCTACTCCCCAAGCAGGGCTGGATGACAAGCGACAGACAAGGGCAGGAGCACAGCCCCGGGGAAAGCCTAGAAAGCTGAAACAAGCCCTGTGTACAGAACAAGTCCTATCCTCCCCACCCCTTGCTACTGCTAAAAAAAAGCAGTGCTGCAACTTGGAAAATCCAACAGATGTGCTACTGCAGAAGGAGTTGCATTTTCAGGGAGGGAATCTCAGTTGTAGAAGTAAGATGCCCACCTAGGTCAACAGCTAGTTTTCTGGTCTCCTGGGAATATGGTACAGCCCATCTATGCCAATGAGCAGATATGGGGAGGAGACCAAGATTCATTATAATGTGAACTAGAAAGTGGGGGCAGGAATATTTTACTAGCACAAAAGGCACCCAGCAAAGTTACCGCCCACTGTTCACTGCAAGACACCCTTCCCCATCCCTTCCGCGCACACGGCTGCTCTTTACCTTAACAGAGCTATTCTCGAACATCTCCACAGTCATTTCCTCCTCGTCCTCATCCTCATCGTCCCCCACCGACTCGATCACCATCCCAGGGAACTTCTCCGCCTCACAGAACTGCAGGAAGATGGGGGCCCGGCTGGAGTTGCGCTGGATCTCCACTCGCAGGATGCCATCACGTGGCCACTTGTCCCGCACATGCTCCAAGCAGTTGATGGGCGAGCGGGAGAAGGCAATGTGAATGTAAGCCAGGATGAAGAGCACAAAGAGGGCCTGGATACAGCAGGAAATGTGAGAGAGAGAGAGAGAGAGACTATCAGCCCAGGTCCGCACTGTCCAAACCTGCTTCATTTACAAAGCTCAGGTCTTATAGGCCGTTTCCTGATAAGCAGATGGACATCTAAAGCAGGTTGGGCCCAAGGCCCCAAGAATAATCCAGACCTTTCACACTCCCTAGTCTGAGCATCAAGACACTAGCACACAGACGTCTCAGAGCCTGCTCTGCTCTTCAGCTGTACAGGGCAGAGGAAGGATCATGCCATTTATCCTAGCTAGCCTTCCTGATGAGCCTCTGGTAGCCAAGCAATGCCCTGGGTGGACATTAAAGAGATCTCTTTGTACGTGCATGGGAGCAGAGGCCAGCTGTGGCATCCTTGCCCCAACCTCCTGTTTATACACACACTGCACGATGGTGGGTTAAAAACCCAGAGCTGATTTCTTCAGTGTCCATCCACAACTGTGTAAGGTGGGTGTGAAATGCTTTCCAGTCTAGAAGCAAGATACCAGTTCTGCTAGTCTGGCAGCAGCATATGGCAGTTACTGGACTTCAATAGCTGCAACACACAGTGGCAGACCTCAGCTCCAGATAACATAGCGCCACACGCCTCTGGGAAGCGAATGCAGTACTGACCTGGGGCAGCTCTTATCCTATCAGCTTAGTGATTTGTCTACCAGCTGGGTTTCCTGGTCTGCCACAGAGTTGTGCTGGCTTACAAGAAGTGGCCCCACCTAGTTGATTTCTGCTGGCTTGGGCTATTTTCAAGAGCTCAGTGGTTAGCAAACCAAACCACTCCATCTTATCAGGCTTCTCCTTTTGACCCAGAAACTCCTGCCCAGGGGAAGGATTATACTGCATGCGCACCAATGCAATCCTCAGAGCAACCCCGAAGAAATGGGTCTCAGTGTATTTATTTGCTAACCCTTCAGCATTCAGTTTAATATTGACAGGATCTGGTGCCTACGTACAACCTTTGCTCAGCAGAGTACAAGTTGACAGCCTGCCACTGAAAAACTTTTAAAGGGAGAGCCAGGCAATTTTAGATCTTATTTCAGAGCCCTTCACCTGACCCAAGAGAGCTCTTACGCTCCTTCCGTGTCTGGAAGCACAGGCTGAACTGAGAAGTTCCCTTTCCATGCTCAGAACATGCAATTAATTGTGTTGCATGTAACCTTAGAGTGGAACTGACTCCTCTACTTCATGGCTGATGCTTCCTGGAACTCAAAATGAAACATAAAATAAAAATGTAGCATAAGTTATTAAATTACTTCCATCTTTAATACCCTAAGGTGTAACCACGTGCAGAGAAGGATATTCTATTCTATTCTTTAAACTATGATTTCTTTCTTTAATCTAAAAAATACTCCCATTAACTGGAAAGTTCCATGATTTGCCCTGGTGAATACAGCGAGCTGATGGGTCCAGTTCCACTAGGACGCCATCCTTCTTAGTCAGTGCTAAATGTTCACACTTTTATTATTAGACTCAAAGTAATGAAATGAACAGGGCTGGTATCTTTGGAACGAGCAGTCTAGGAATGCAATGGGAACCAAGCACAACTATCGGACTAAACGCGCCTTCGACTATTGGTGGCTCTCCTGCCAAGTGGAACTGCTTCCACGGTGTCTTACGGGCAGAACATTAAACTCCATCCGCAGGTTTCCCGGAACAGACTCTGTTGGGTGCTGTTTAACCGCGGTGTCAGCTCACTGCCCAGCTGTCTACTTTATTAGAATGGAGACCAAGATTTCATAGAGGGAACCACTTAGTTAGCTGCTGTCAGGGCTGGTTAACAATACACATTCAAGAGTTAGGAGTCCAGGCCCCCAAACATGATAAATGTTGAGGTTTTCCCCTGGCCTCCTGGTTTCTGAGCCTGTTGGGCATCCTTAGGTCACACCTCCCAGCTTTGCTGCAACACAGAGGGCTAGAAACTAATGGTCCATTTTTTCTCATGGTCTCCATGAACCCATCCTCATCCCAATTCCCAAAGCCAATTGTTATCCTCCTTGCTCTCTCATGCCAGAGAATTGCAATTCATCCTCAGGATGGTTCTCTTGGGGGACAGGAAGGGGAAAACAATGCTGAGCGTCTCCCAGGCACCTCCTCTGTCGGTTGAATCAAGTTATAAGCAAACGCCCCCTACCCTTTTGGGCAGTGTAGTAGAGCCAGCAAGACCTGGTGACAAATTAAATGCAAATTCATGTATAAACAAGCTACTACATTAAAAACCCATGCTCCCATTGGGCCATGAAAGGCATTTGGTCATACAGAGAGCCCAGATGGACAGCATGAGGTGCATATAAGGACTGGACTTGCTAATGAAAACTGCTATCTTAAGGTGCAGCCCCCCCAGCCCCAAATGTTTCACGCTCTGCCACTGCCTCCTTGCCACCTGGCAGTACCTGGGAGGGTGCAGGGTTTGAAAGGGACAGATAAGCACTGAGAAAAGCATCAATGACCTGACAGGAAAGCCAGATACATTAAACCAGCAGTACTGAGGAAGGAGTAGGTCCCTCACTAGCAGCTCACCTGCAGCTGGAAGCCTCTGATATTTCTGTAACGGCCATCAGGTTTGTTCTCAAGGCCCTGGCACTTAGGTGAGTGAACCTGGTTCATTATCAGGACCTGTCATGTTAGAAGGCCAGCATTACAATGTCTGCTATACACAGCGTTTCCAGATCACCTTCCTCTTAGTTTTGCAAGCTAGCAGGTTGCCTTTGGTAAGAGCAGAGGAAAGCTGCCAAAGTTTGCTCTGCAGGACCCTGCCTTTGACTGGCGGCCGAGCCAACTCAACAAACTGGAAACGCAACTTGAGCTCAGGTAGGAAGGGTTACAAAATGTCAGCGGAGGCCAACATACAGTCTGCGCTCGGTCGGGCAGAAGTTAGCAGCAGACTGGGAGGCATTCCTAAACCAGGATTAAACTGGATGGGGCAGGGATCCGCTCACAACGGGCTGGGATTGCAGACCAGAGATTAAGGAACTACAATAGTGATGAGGGGGGAGGGGGGGACCCCCAATGCTCACAGGACAGCATCCCCCCTCCTCCCCCAAAGGTGCAACTCACACCGTGGAGTGTGGGTCCAGACATCAACACTGGTGTGAAGCATGCGGTAGAGATCCTGGAACACATCCCACACGCTACAGCTAACACCCAAATGCAGGCACCCCCCTCTCAAGTACATTATCAGTGATCCAACTGGAAGACCAACAGCACGCCAGAAAACTGAAGCAGGACCTTGCTTGCCATCATTTTGCTACAGCAGAAATCGAAAGACAACTTTTCACAGAACAAGATACTTCCTTATACTTCAAAAGGGTGCGACCACTTCCCATCCAGAGCTGGGGGAAGAGAGATTGAATAACTCTAGGACTGAGAAGCACGAACAGCCTTGCAGGAAGTGGTACAAACCCTCCTACGCTATGGTCAAGTCCTCAGCACGCGATATAATCTTTGCTATTGCGTTGTGCCAGTCAAGCTACTGGCCTTCCTAGTGCCAACATGGGACAGAGCACAAATCCCTTTCACCCCCCACCTCACCCATGACCTCTTAAAACCTTCAGCAATTGGTTTTACAACTTAACTGCCAATACAGCTCTCAGAAGACAGAAACTTTAATCCCCCAAACATCCAAGAGCGAGCACGGTGATGGACTCCAGCCCCTAATTGCCGAGGACACCTCTGGTTGGATCATTTTATGTTCCAATATGCAACAGATGTACAAGAACTCCCTCATTCCCAAAATCCTGTTACAACCTGCATGTTCGCTGTGAATTAATACTAGAGTACTGTTCTCAATGAGGTATGCAGAGCACTGAAAAATGGCACTGGGCTTCATTTCTCAAACCAGAGGACAAGCCTCAGTTCTAGTTACCAAATCGCCATTATTCCCTCTCCTGGCTCTCTGTGTCAAAGAGTTCAGTCATTTCAAGTCAATCCTGGTGACTGGAGCCTAGCACTCAAAGCCGCAGCTCAACGTTTTACACAGACCTATCAGGGGGTTCATTGTTGTGGCTATTAAAAAATAATTTACTCCGCTACAGAGGGTAATTAGGGTTTTTAACTCCACCTCAAACAAACCAGCTCTCAATAAGTCAGTCAGTTTAGTAAGTCACCACTCACATAAAGGACACTTCACCCCGAGGTCTCTGGTTTCAGAAAGTAATGGAGCGATGCTTTTCAATCAGAGGAAGAGTCACAGCAGAACAAAGTGGACCAGGGACAGGATTTCAACACCTGTGTCCTGGATGACAGTGTACAGTGATGTTACCCGATACCTGCAACCGCTTGTGCCGTAGTTCTCTACCCTGAGTACAGAACACCTAGAACACGGCAATCCCCCCTGCAGCCAAGGTGTGGAGTTGGTTGCTCTCCACCTGCCTTAAAGTGCCTGATCATTGGGTAATCTAGTGGGTCCCAGTGATTCTTCATCCTAGATTTCTTTGCTACAGGTTATCAGACTGGCCAAACTTCACAGCTGCACTGCAACTTCACTGTACGAAAAGCTATGGAGAATAAAAGCAGAAGATGGGTGGGACAGCCGTTACTCACTAATGATCACCTACACCCAGATACCACCCTAGCAGTCCCAGTGACACCCACATGGCAAGCACACGGATTCACGCACACAACAGGCTACAGGGTGCTCAGCTACTGTATGCAGAAAGTTGTAACAGAATCAAAGAAAATGAGGGCTGTAAGGGATCTCAGGAGATCCCTTACAGTCCAACCCCCTGCTCAAAGCAGGACCACCCTGTGAACAGCCTTAGCTCCAGGCGTGCCAGGAATGGGGCAGAGCTCCAGAGTCACGAGTCCCCACTCTGCTTCAAGATCAGCATGTCCCTCCTCAGCAACACAAGAGGCAGGGGGGAAAAAAAAGGGCAAGTCCAAGGACTCCCAAATTGGCTGAGTGACAAGGCACTATTGTCACAGCAAGGTCATGACGCGGCGATGACAAAGCCACTGCTTAGTCTTTAATAACACCACATTCGCTACGTGGGCAGCAGGAAATAAGCTGAGCTACTTCTCTCCCGACTTTGTCAATAATTATGATTAGCATACTGTAATCACCATCTTATTATTTTTAATTTCTATGTTTAAACACCAGCCTGAGCACAGAATCCAGTGGGTTTCACCCACACAGTTACAGCGTGGACTGTGTCGGCACACCCCTCTGCCGAGGCCCATTACCGCACTTCCCTGATGACTAGCTTCAAGAGCTGAGACTCCTACCCTCAGCCAGGACTGCCAACAAGAACAAGATCGCACTGGCAAAGCAAGGTAGAAGGGCAGGTTCTCCCACGGTCACTAGCGTGGAAAATCCCAGCAGGCACAAGACCGTTGTAGTCAGGATGGTCAGCGCTGACAAACACACAGCAAAACTTTCTTCCCCGCTCCTCCATTAAGGCAAGGCTCAAGGAAAGTGTCAAGCATCTTTCCTGAAGATAGACTGAAGCTGCCAAACCAACTCAAGTAAACCCTACATCCATCAGAGAGCAGCGATTCCTGGGTAATGGAATCATAAACCTTTCCACCCAGGTCACTGGTTCCAATTTGATCCAGACTCACAGGCTATCAACCTAGGCAGACGGGCAATCCATCCAGAACAGGCTAGAATCAGTCACCAGGATATGAAAGCTTTATCATCTCGCTGCCAGGCACAGAAACCATCCAGACCACCGGTGCTAAGCACCGAGATTTAGCCACATCCACGGCTTCCCTACAAGAAGCCGCTGTGTTAGAGCACTGGCCTGACGTTCACGTCTGAGCACATGCAACAGACTCATCTGTGGAAGAGCAGCGTCCAAAACAACAAAGATCTTGCACGATCACTGTGGGGGCTGGACCCGATGATCTCGCAAGGTCTCTTCCAGCCCTAACGTCTATGAAATCTATGAAATGTCTATAACACCCACTTGAGCTTTGGCACGAAGAGGCCCCAGCCCTCTTTCCTGCCCGTGGCAGGGGGTCGGACTTGATGAGCTGCTCAGGTCCCTTCCAACCATGAAACTATGAGGCCAATATGGGGTTATTTTGGGGAGCATTTTGTTCAATGCTACTGAGACACCTGCTCTTCCTCCTCCGTTTCCTCGCTGGCAGGTAGAGAGAGGTAAAGGACCGGAATCACCTCGTCAGGAGAGGGGCGTAGCCGCGCAGGACACTGCAGATCCAGGCGATTTCAGCCTCTGAATTTAGACGTGCCCTAACACACCTTCCAGTTTGATACCAAGTGCCTGAGTGACGATTCACAGGAGCAGATATAAAGCACCACGCTGGAGGGGAAGTCACGTGCGGCAGGACACCAGACCGATGGCAAAGCTCCCCGGGGTTTGAGAGCGACGCGGTGGCAACGAGCAGCTTCCCCCTTGCCCGGAGCGGGGGAGCCCGCCCAGGGGACAGCCGCCCGCGCCGCAGGGCCGCCCCTCACCTTGAGCAGCACGAAGAACTCGAAGATGCGGCGGAAAGAGGGCGGGAAGAGGCGGGCGTAGGTGACAGCCATCTTGAAGAAGAGGGCGTGGAAGAGGCGGTCGCGCACATTGATCAGTGGGTTCTGGTTGAGGTTGGGGTTGCGCACGCCCCGGTTGTTCCCGCCGGCTGCCGCGCCGGCCCCGGCGTTGTTGGCCCCCGGGTGGTGGTTCGTGTGGGCGTGCGCCTGGTTCTCCGACATCCTGGCCGGCGGCAACGTGGGTGCTGGGAGTCGGGGTGGGGGGGGACAACCACGGAGGAGGGGGCCTGGCTGCGCGCCCCCGCCCCGGGAAAGCAGAAGCTCGGGAAGGAAAAACGGGGAAGAGAAGCCGGGGGAGGATCCGCGGCCCAGGGACAGGGACAAGGGAGGAGAGGGGGGAGGAGGGGGCTGCCGGGCCCCCACCCCGGGACCTCTCGAGGGGTCACAGATCAACCCCTGTAGTTGAGGGGCGGCCACAGGAGGGGGCTTGGGGCCTGTCCCGGGGGCATCTGGCAGGGAGGGCAAGCGCCCCTGGTAGGGGGTGAGGGGCAGCCCCAGGGGTCTCAAATGGCAATGCAGGGGGGGCTCTCAGAGAGACCCCTCCGTCTCCTGTGTG